AAAGTAACATTGATTATTGATTGGCTATATGTTGTTGAACTATATATAGTTTGTTAAGGTGTCTAGTGTATGGTATGTTATGGCTACTTGGTGTCAGTTAGTCTAGAGCCCACATAGCAAGTGACTTCAAGAGTTAAGTATTGAGCTTAAGCGGGGAGCAAGACATGACTGCTGTCACATTTTTGTTTATTTTTGTAGAGACAGGGTCTCGCTTTGTTGCCCAGGTTGGATTCAGACTGCTAGGCTCAAGAGATCCTCCTGCCTCAGCCTGCTGAGTAGCCGGGACTATAGGCATGCCATGTCACATTTTAATGCTTCTCTGGGCCTGGTAATTTAAAGGCACTTGCATTTCTCAGATTAAAGGTTTGTTTTCTTTATCAGAACACAGAGAACAAGGGAAAGCATCATGCAAGATGAGGCAAGAGAACTATGGCAGAGGCCAGACCTATCAGGGCCTTTTAAAAGATTAAGGATTTAAGTCTTTCAAGAGCAATGGGAGGATGTTGGAAGATTTTAAGCGGTGTGTGTGTGTTTGCGTGGCAGGGTGGCAGGGCAAGTATGACAGGATCAGATTGTTCTTTCCAAATAATTGGTATAGAAGGGACTAGAGGGGATGGACAGTTCCAAAGTCAGTTCCTTGGGGAAGTTTTCTTTGAACTCCTGCATGGTCTCCCTCCAAAGACTAGATCAAATTCCCTGTGAGCTCTGAAAGGTGAGCACTCACTGTTCACCTCTCCTTCCTAGCATTTTCATAGTGATAATTTTTTATTTATTTGCATGATTATCTGATTAACCTCTGTCTTCCTCTCTAGACTGTCAGTAGTGCGGAGACTGTGTCTATTGGACTAGATGGATGAGGGAGACCAGTTACAAGGTTATTGAGTAACCCTGGTACAAGATAGCTTGGATTAGGGAGGAGGCCAGGGAAATATAGAAAGGTATAAGCCTGAAACCCACTGTCACTACTTCTCCATCCTCAATTATTTAATTCCTTTTCAGACCAAGTTATGTTATATGCCTGCAACCCAAAGGATCTAAACTATATCATTTGGAAGATTTTTATTATTCTCCAGCATCCAGTTGGAAATCTGAAAAAAAACAATAATTTATTGCTTCGCCTGGTTCTCTCCCACTTGTAAGCTTGCTCTTTCAGAAGTACAATGATAACTATATATATATGTGTGTGTGTGTGTGTGTGTGTGTGTGTATATATATATATTTTTTTTTTTGAAACAGAGTCTTACTCTGTTGCCCAGGCTACAGGGGCTCGATCTCAGCTCACTGCAACCTCTGCCTCCCAGGTTCAAGCGATTCTCCTACCTCAGCCTCCAGAGTAGCTAGGATTATAGGTATGTGCCACCAGGTCCGGCTAATTTTTGTATTTTTAGTAGAGACGGGGTTTAACTATGTTGGCCAGGCCAGTCTTGAACTCCTGACCTCAAGTGATCCGCCCACCTTGGCCTCCCAAAGTGCTGGGATTACAGGTGTGAGCCACTGTGCCCAGCCAATAATTGTATTTTGATAATTATTCTGTAACAATATTTGATGGTGGCCTATTGCATCCTCAGTTTCTAGGATTTCATAGGTACACTTTAATCTCAGCAGGAACACTAAGCCTTATCATTTATTGAAATATTCTTTTTCTTCTGGACTGTCTCCTCTTCTTATTGTGACTTTAAAAAATTTTTTTAAAGACTGTCATTTAGCCAGGTGTTGTGGTGCACACCTGTAGTCCTAGCTACTCAGAAAGCTAAGACAGGAGGATCCCTTGAGCCCAGGAGTTTAAGGCTGAAGTGAGCTATAATTGTACTACTGCCTTTCAGCCTGGGCAACAGAAGGAAACCCTGTCTGTAAAAAATAAAGAAAGATAGATTTTAAAAAAGCGATAAACCTTATTTTTTAATCATGTGATGATGGTGTCTTTTATTGATTTATTAATGATATCCTTGTCTTACAGATATCATTAAGTTCTTATTTTAGTCAATACTTAATTACCTGAATCATCATCTCCTGGGGAAAAAGCTTTAGATTACAGAGGCACAGGATCAGACTTGTGTTGTCTTCCTCAAAATTTTCTCAGGATTTTCCTCATGTTTTGCTTTCAGTGAGATTCATTGATTGGACTGTCTCATTATTGTTAATGTGTGAAATAAGTGAATTTATCAGTGGTTTGCAATAACCATTTACAATAACCTTCATCCATTATTTATGGAAATGATTTTGTACTACATTAGCTTTGATGAGAATATGCAGTTTGCACATTGATTAGTAGTAAAATAAACATATTTCACATCTTTAAATTTTCATGCATTCCTTCATTTATTTGAGGGTAGATGTTGATACTTTGCAAGAATCTTTATTAATTAGAAAGTGTTAGAATCTAAAGATAAATTGCCTGCAGTTGGGAACATAAGGAAAAGAATAAAATTGAACTTTTTTTTCTCTGATAATATGTCAGCCCCTTTAGAAATTTAAAAATTATATACTGTAATGCACTACATAATGATGTTTCTAGTCAACCAAGGACCACATATATAACAGTAGTCCCATAAGATTATAATGAAGCTGAAAAATTTCTATCAATCTGGTGACATTGTAACTATGATAATGTTGTAGAGCAATACATTACTTTTTCTATGTTTAGATACACTAATACCATGTCTATCATGTTACAGTTGCCTGCAGCATTCAGTATGGCAACATGTTTTACCGGTTTGTAGCCTAGGAGCAAGAGACTATACCAGTAGTAGGCTCTACCAACTAGGTTTGTGTAAGTACACTCAGTGGTGTTCACACAAATACAAAATCATCTAATGACGCATTTCTCAGAAGGTATCCCCATTGCTAAGTGACACGACTGTATAACATTTAGTGACACAAATAATAAGTTTTCCAATTATCTTTAAGCCAGCCTATGAGCCTCTAGCCAGTACAGAAGTTGTGTCCTTTCATTTCATAAGATGCGGGCTCATCTTCTTTGGGCTAAGCCTTCTGTGGGGAGGGGAAAGCTAATATCTCATTAACAGCTAGAGTTGTAAATACAGGTAAAAGTTAGTTAAGTAGGTCTCAGGCTCCAGAATAAGCTTTTAATTTTCACTAGACACTTCCAGAGCAATGTCTTTTAAGAGCCAGTGTAAGTTCTGCCTAAAGGTGCTTCTGACTTGCTGGACAAAGAACCTCTTTTGGTGCTGGATCTACTCCTAACTTCCTGGATCCTATGTCTCCTGACTTAACTGCCTCTAATGCCAGCTACCTACTGAAATCTGTCTTCTTCTTGACCTTGACTCCCTTCTATGCTAGCCACTTATGAAGTGCCTAACTTCATACTGGCTCTCCTGTATGCCTTCTGCTCCCCCTTGATATGACAGAAAATAAAATCTAGTTGTGAGATTGGACCTGTTAATTTGAGAGAAGCATTATACCCTAAATATTTCTTAGCCATCAACATGATGAAAGATTTTTAGAACCTTTTATTTTCCGAGACTTAAAGCATTCTTGCTAGAGCTCTCTGGAGACTTAATATTTTAAAAGTGAAATAGTTGTCATCAACTCTTTTTTTCTATACTGGTCTGGCCAGTAGTACATAATCAATTATGTATTTGTTGAATGTATGATAGTCACCAAATACCATGTTTACTTATTCTGTTTAGTGTTATCAACATAAGCCATTCAGACACCTTTATTTCTGGTTTCTCATTACTATGTAAAGCATTCTTGAATTATTTACTTTATCCACAAGCTAATATAATATTTTAGAGTAGCCATAAATATGATTCAAACACAATACTGCTATAGAAAAACCATATTTTATATTTACTGGTAAACACCAATTCTACCAAATAGCATATTTGGAACTTACATATTGAACAGCAGTATCACATAGTAGCAGATTCATTTGTTAATATTGGAATACTAAATTGACTAGCTTTTGTCTACATAACTAAGGTTGAAATTGGTACCTTGTAGGGCCTGAAAAGCTTAATTATTGTATATATAATATAATAGTGTAAATGAAGTTAAATTTATGTGGCAATGAGGGTTATCCTCTTGATGTTCTGATATTATAAAATATTTGAAATATTTAAATATGTTCAAAAATATATAAAGATAAATGTAAAATTATTATGTTCTTTTCATGTGTAGCTTAGGTGATCTGTTTCATTATTTTATAGTTGTTTCTGTAGCACTGGAAATTTTTTTTAAAATCCTAAAATATAGTAGGGTTACAGCTCTGTTTCAAAATTCACTGAAATGTTATTAATATGTAGTGCTTATATAAGAGCAACTAATAGCCAGGCGCACTGACTCATGCTTGTAATCCCAGCACTTTGGGAGGCCAAGGTGGGTGGATCACCTGAGGTCAGGAGTTCAAGACCAGCCTGGCCAACATGGTGAAACCCCATCTCTACTAAAATACAAAAACTAGCAGGCATGATGGCGGGTGCCTGTAATCCCAGCTACTTGGGAGGCTGAGACAGGAGAATCTCTTGAAACCAGGAGATGGTGGTGTGCAGTGAGCCGAGATCGCACCACTGCACTCCAGCCTGGGCGACTGAGAGAGACTCCGTCTCAAAAAAAAAAAGAGAAACTGATAATGGAGTGATGACTTTAGCCCTTTTAAATACTTGTAATCTATGTATTTTCATCATACACAAAAAGAATTTTGTGTAGTTAAAACACTGTAATTGACATGAATTATTGATTTACAATGAGCAATTACATCACACTAGTAAACTCATGAGCATTTTCTAACTTACGGGATATTGTTTTGCAGGAGAAAATAGATGTAAAAATGGTTTTCATGACTTGAATATGTAATTTCCCATTAATACAAAATATTTTACCAATTGTTACCACAAAATTGGTTAAAATTAATACTCTTCTGTCATAATAGATCAAGGCAATTTACATTTAGTTTTCTTTGTCTTTTTTGTTTGTTTTGTTTTGTTTTGTTTTGTTTTATTCCCTTCCCATCCCCTAATTATTTCATGGCATTTCAGTGCATCAGAGAATTTAGATGAGCTGTCTTCCTCCAGTAGCTGGTTACTTAACCAGAAGCACAGTAAGAAAAAGAGAAAAGACAGGACAAGACTGAAATCTTCATCCTTGACTTTCATGAGTACATCAGCCCGAACAAGGCCACTTCAGAGTTTCCACAAACGAAAACTCTACAGATTGAGCCCTACTTTTTACTGGACTCCACAGGTAAGGCTGCCTTTGGGAAGAAAACATTATCAAAGATTCACCATCAGCATATTTCATGTATGAGAAGATGTAGATTGTTATTTAGAATAACACTTATTTTGAATAATTACATGTATAAAACTTACAAATATAGTTTATAAATGATATAGTAGATGTTAATAATACTAAAGTGGGCTTTAGTAATTTTTTAAACATTGCAAGCAGTGTACTCTGAAACTTCTCACATCCCCAGTTAAAAAAAAAAATCTATTATGCCTAAACTAATTTGAGAGATAATGAAATGTCAAGATGATTTTTAAAATGTACTGGCAAAGATAAGAAGGTAAACACAAATGTACTACATATTTGTCTCATAAATATTTGCTCAGAAGAAGAAAATCTGCACAGCTTCAGTTATTTTGGAAGAAGTAACATTGCTTTCCTTTTTAGGTTTGATATTTATTAATTTTGTTGAGTGTTCCTTTTCCTTCTTCTAGAATATAAGCAATACAATTTTAGATATTCATGCTTACAGTTTTTACAAATTAAGTATACTTCATTAGAAACATTCATTTTGAAAAACATATTTTTCATGTGTGAACAAAATAATGGGGATACTTCTGTTAGTGTACTTCTAAACCAGCTGTGATGAAAGGAAAAATACGTTATCTCTAGTTCTTGCTGGATATTCTCCCCCCCCACAATTATTTTAGATTTCTTAATATATCAAAGGAAAGAAATTATTGATACTACTATTTAATAGTTTCTGATTATCATTACATTATCTATTTAAATATGTTTGTATTAAAATAAAGATGTTTGTTTTATTAGGAACCAATTGTAAACTCTTTTATCAGGGTCCAGTTATAAATAGGAATGTGGATTCTGACAAATTAGCTTTTATTAAAAGACTTTTCCTGCTGGGCGTGGTGGCTCATGCCTGTAATCCCAGTACTTTGGGAGGCCAAGGCAGACGGATCACTTGAGGTCAAGAGTTCGAGACCAGCCTGGCCAACATGGCGAAACCCCATCTCTACTAGAAATACAAAAATTAGCCCAGCGTGAAAAATACAAAAATTTGCCCAGCATTGTGGCAGGTGCCTGTAATCCCATCCACTGGGGAGGCTGAGGCAGTAAATCGGATTCCAAAGCCCATGTTCTTTCTATAAACATTTATAGCAACAAGAATAAACCAAATCTTTTGTGGGCCTGAAATCAGTAAAGACAGTATATTTCAGGGTTTGTAAGATTAGAGGTATTAGGAAATATATAGAAAAGATGAGTTTTGAAAGATAAGGAGAGTTTTGAAGGTTATGGTGAAGAGAAAGAAAGGATTTTAAGTGAATAATTGGAACAAAGATGAAAAAAGTAGTGGAGAATAGCAAATTCTGTTACCCTCAGCTTGTCTCCCATATTGTCAACTCAATAATTATTTACCTTTCTAAACTTAATTTAAATGTCATTTCTCTCAGGAAGCCTTCCTTGACATCCCCAGAATGGTATATATATTATCATATATATATACACTATACATATATATATTTTGTTTTAACCTTGCTAAGTTGGAATTTATTATACTATTTTATAATCATTTCTGACTTCTCAGAAAAAAGTATGGTATGTTTTCAGAGAATAGGGGCTGTATCTTTTTATTTCCAGATCTACAGGGCCTTGAAGAGTACCTATCTGATAGAATGTGCTCAATAAATAATCGTTTAATGTGTTAAAGAATTAATGAAGTGGAACATAGGAAAATATTTAAAAGGCAATGGAGAATGGGAACTCAAAGTGTGTGTGTGTGTATGTGTGTGTGTCCTAGATTTGCCTACTGCGATGGTCTAGAATAGTGATATTCCATATCCCATAGAACTTACTTTTTTTTTCTTTATGGAAAGTCTTGAGAACCATAGAACTTTCTGTAATGATTCAAATGCTCTATAAATCTATACTGTCCAATATCGTAGCTCCTAGACACATGTAGCTATTGAGCACATGAAATATGGCTTATGTAATTGAGGAACTGAGGTTTGTTTTTTTTTTTTTCCTTTTTTTTTAAGAAGTTTCACTATGTAGCCCAAGCTGGTTTTGAACTCCTGGGCTCAAGTGATCCTCCTGCCTTAGCCTCCCAAAGTGCTGGTATTATAGGTGTGAGTTACTGTGCCCATCCTGAATTTTTAATTTATTTTGTTTTTATTAATTTTAATTTAAGTAGCCACATGTGGGTAATGGCTACCAAATTGGACAGCACAGATCTAGACTCAGACTTATCCTGATAAGTAATTAGTATGTCCGGAACTCATATTTTGTTTTCTAATACCATTTCCTACTAAAAGGAATCGGGGATTTCTGGAGAAATGGCTGGTCTCCAGGGCTGGGGAAGAAAAGGTATGATCATCTTGGAACATCATAATGTTAACAGAAAGCAAAGAAGTGTTTTAAAAAATGATAAAGGCCTGTTGAAAGAACACAGAAACGAGCTTCAAGAGGCCCCTACTGGCCAAATCTAGGACTATTTGCTATCAAAATAAATAAGGACAATATTGAACCATTGAAAAAATAGGAACTCATGAGTCCATACTGATGATAGATAAATTGGTGAAAAGGAAGACTTTACCATATGCTAGGATGCTGATTAATAAATGTAGAATAAACAGTCAAATTAGATAATCATTTTGCAATCATCATAGTAAAGATTGGACAAGAATCATTAATGGGTATAAATCTGGGGTCAGGATTGAGGAGAGGTTTGATGAGGAACAAGATATTTGCATGATCTTAAAGCAGGGGTCCCCAGTCCCCAGGCCACAGACCAGTACTGGTCTGTGGCATGTTAGAAATGGACCACACAGCAGGAGGTGAGCAGCAGGTGAGCGAGCATTGCCGCCTGAGCTCTGCCTCCTGTTAGATCAGTGGCAGGAACACATAGGAACTCAAATCCTTTTGTGAACTGTGCATCTGAGGCATGTAGGTTGTGTGCTCCTTAGGAGAATCTAAAGCTTCCTGATCTGAGGTGGAACAGTTTCATCCTGAAACCATCTCCCCATCTCCTACACCCCCAATCCCCTGTCTGTGGAAAAATTGCTTTACATGAAACTGGTCCCTGTTGCCAAAAAAGTTGGGGACAGCTGTCTTAAAGTGCCTCCTGCCAGTTGCCAGGGGGCATATAGTAACTATATATAGAGAAACAAACAATACTTTGCCTGAGTGATCAAAACTACTATCACCTGTGAGGGAGGATATAATAACACTGTGTAGTATTCTGACCAGAAATGTATAACCTGAATTTAATCATGAGTAAATATCAGACAAAGCCAAAATCAGACATACAGTATTAAAAAACAACAACCGGCCAGTATTCTTTTAAAAATGTCAATGTCATGAAAGCCAGGAAAGGCTAAGGACTTGTTCTAGATTGAAAGAGACACTAAAAAGATACATGACAACTAAATGAATATGTGATCTAGAGCAGAATTCTTTTCAAGGGAAAAAATTACTGGGACAATTGTGGAAACTAGACTATTGATGGTAGATTAGACAAAATATTTTATTAACATTGAATTCCCTGAATATTATTGTTTTGCAGTTACGTTAAGAAAATATCCTTATTCTATGAAATACACATTGAAATATTAAGGGTAAAGTGGCTAAGGCATCCATTGTATATAATAAATAAACTTTCCTTCTGGAATGGTACCAGCCATGTACAACCAAAAAGAGAGGGGAGTGAAATATTTAAAATATTTTAAAACAAAAGCGAATGCTGTAGTGGGCAGAACTGTGTCTCCCCCCGGCCCGCCCCACACACACACCCTGAAAGATATGTCTATGTCCTAACTCCTGGTTCCTAGGAATATAACTGTTATGGGTTGAACTGTGTCCCTAAGAACTCTTATATTGAAGTTCTAACAGCTAGCACCTCAGAATATGACCTGGAAATTGGGTCATTAAAGATGTAATTAGTTAAGGTAATCAGGGTGGGCCCTAATCCAATATGACTGATGTCCTTATAAAAAGGGGTAATTTTAGTCGGGCATGGCAGCTCATGCCTATAATCCCAACACTTTGGGAGGCCAAGGCGGGTAGGTCACCTGAGGTCAGGAGTTTGCAACCAGCTTGGCCAACATGGCGAAATCCCGTCTCTACTAAAAAATACAAAAATTAGCCAGGCATCGTGGTTTGTGCCTGTAGTACCAGCTACTCCGGAGGCTGAAGCATGAGAATCACTTGAACCTGAGAGGTGGAGGTTGCAGCGAGCTGAGATCATGCCACTGCACTCCAGCCTGGATAACGGAGTGAGACTCTGTCTCTAAATAATTTAAAAAATAAAAATTAAAAGGAATTTAGACACAGATGCATGCATACAGGGTGAATGCCACATAAACATGAAAGTTGAGGTCAGAATGACACTTCTACAAGCCAAGAAACACCAAAGATTGGCAGCAAACACCAGAAGATAGAGGATACGCCTAACAGAGTCTTCCGCTTAGTGCTCAAAGGAAACCAATCCTGCTGACATCTTGATTTGACTTCTAACCTCCAGAACTGTTATTTAAGCCACTCAGTTGTGGTATTTTGTTAAAATACACCTAGCAAACTAATACAGTGGATGTTTTTGTTAGTAAGGTCTTTGTAGTTGCAATTAAGGATCTTGATTGAGATGAGATCATTTTGAGTTTAGAATGGGTCCTAAATCCAGTGATTGTTGTCCTTATAAGAGAAAGGAGAGGGCCGGGCGCAGTGGCTCTGCCTGTAATCCCAGCACTTCAGGAGGCCAAGGCGGGTGGATCACAAGGTCAGGAAACCGAGACCATCCTGGCTAACACAGTGAAACCCCATCTCTACTAAATATACAAAAAATTAGCCGGGCGTTGTGGCTGGCGCCTGTAGTCCCAGCTACTCGGGAGGCCAAGGCAGGAGAATGACATGAACCCAAGAGGCAGAGCTTGCAGTTAGCTGAGATCGCGCCACTGCACTCCAGCCTGGACAACAGATCGAGACTCTGTCTCAAAAAAAAAAAAAAA